AGGTTGGCTTACAAACCCATTTTTTTCAATAGTTGTTTTGACGTTCGAATGGTTTTACTTCGAAGACAGCAAGATCGTCTGACAACAGACGTTAAAAGTATAGAGTGTACACTCAATTTCTATCACGTTCGCTGTAAGCGAGATATTCTCAACCAGCATGTGTTCAGTTCATTAAAGAACAGCCCTTGTTTTCACTCCCTTCTTAAGCTTTGATGTTGTGTTTATTTTTATAAAATTTCTTCTCAAAGATATAAAATGACAACCCACGCGAAGTGATTCTCTTTTTGAAAAATCTACCGATTTTTTTTATTATATAAACAGACTAGTTTTTTTTATTATTCCTAACTTTAGGGCTACGTGTAATGATAAGTATATCTCACTTAACGATGTGGTGCACTCTTCGTTAATCGGCGAATTTTCTTAGAAGAGTCATTGTTTTTAAATAGACTTTTAATAGAGAACGTGTATTGAAAAGGACTTTCGTGATAAGAGTATGTTTCGACGCACACGTAATCATTTTCGAAAAACAAGATACATTACTTTATGTAATATATTTGTTTCTGAGAACAAATCCTTCGAAGTTATAAAATGACGACAATCACGTAGAGGTTATTTCTTGGAAAGTTGTTCATTGTTTTGCTTTTATAGTTGTTGTTGTTTTCTTAGTGCAAAGTTACACACTGGATTCTGCACTCTATCCACCGCGGGGAATCAAACCTCAGATTTTAACGTTTACCTACTGGGGAACTGTCTTTATAGACTCATTCGATTGTTTTTTTTTCTTCCTCTGCTTTGGTCCGTAAGTTATAACTTAGCAATTTGAGTAGACAACAAAAAGTTTAGTAGGAAATTACCTTTCTTAGAAAATAGGACTTGACTCATTTCGCTTTGAAAAGTCACCAGAATTTCAACCGTTAAGTTGAGGAGAAATTTTCATCTATTTCTTAGAAGACAGAATTTGAGTCGTTATCTTGATGTATTTCCTATCTAGGACCGCGTGTGCCCTAGTGGTTAGCGTGACTGGACTATTAAACCGAGGATTATAGATTCTCGACCCACTGTCGCAAAAAAACACTCGCTCTGCACTTTGAAACCATGGGTTGTTTATAAGAATCAAATTTCACTATTCGATCAGACAAGGTCCAAAGGTTGGCGATGGATGTTAACTAGCTGCCTAACTAGTCTATCAGTTCATATTTAGGGATGGCAATGCGTAGATAATCCTTGTGTAGCTTTACGAGTAATTCCGAAACAAACCATTTCTTGTCTTGTCAACTATTTATATAAAAATAGTTTTATACTTTCCAGAACTTTCTTCATTTAATCTACTTTGTTGAAAGAGCACGCGTTAGTCTTAGTTTGGAAAACAGGTTAGGTTTATTGTTAGCAAATATGCTAGATATATCTAGAAAATAAGCTAAATATATCTAAAAAATAAACTAGATTTATTGTTGAAAAATATGTTAGGCTTACCTCTACCAGCAAGCTAGATTTATTATTTTAAAGTAAACTATTACTCTTTCAAACAGTTTATTACGAGAATTATTTTGCCTGCGTGAGTTTCTTATAAAACGACAAGACGTGATTAGTTTTTTTATTTTTATTGGAAAACTTGTATTTCTGAAATATTCAATATAAAACATATGCTTCTCTCTCTAGTCTTCATCAGACGTTTTTCGCTTAGTGGTTGGTCATTCACTTTTAGTCGGACTGTCCTGGGTTCAATTCCAGTCAGGGATGTCTTTGGTCAACTCCACCATCTATCCTTCCAAGATTGGTAAATAAATACCAAGTTTGATTGGGGAATTCAATACAAATATTATTATCCTTTATCAACAAATGCTTATTTCTGTTTTTTAAATGCTTGATTATTGTTCATTTCGATATCATCGAACAAACTCCTTAGGCATACAAAAAGGCGATGAATACCTGATTGGTTTATTAGACAAAAAATTATGTTTCTTCTTATAGATTACTATATTTGTTCATTTGAAATTTGTCTTGAATAGATGAAGATATCTCTTAGTCATTCAACGTATGAAGAGATATTTTTCTTATTCGTACAATTTACATAGAGTATGTGTTATATGAGGTTTCTATTTAAGAAAGTTAAAAAAAAACGTTAAAATGTTTGTTTTTACCTTCAATAAATGTCCTAGAGGAGAAAGATTACGAACTTTAAAAAAGATAACAAAGAGGGGTTATAACGGTAATACTGTACGTACTATACGGGTGTTTTTGCTTATGTAAATATAATGAAATCTCTTAGATTAATGAGGAACGTCGTTCTGTTTGGTTTAGTACTTAACGTCGATCTGAAGGCGAGGATGCTATAGACTTTAGCAAGGTCTAATGTTTTCCTTGTAAATAAATATACTTTCTTAGTCATTAACTAAAAATATATATTCTTCTATAAAGAAGTGTGAATACTTATTTTTGAACCACGTGTAAGTATTTGTTCGTCATCCAAGAGTGTTTGGTTGTTAAGAAAAAAGCTGTTGTATATCTAGATAAACTGATTTCTGTACAAGTATAGGATAGGGTCGCAAATAACAGTAGATTCGAACAGGAGTTTGCTGAGTTTGAAAATCTAACCACGTTTTAAGTTGAGCGAGAAATAATCAAACTGTATAAGTTTGAAGTGAAGTGAAGCACTCTTTTATTAGTTATGTAACAGAAACAACAACAAATAACAGTGTGATTACTTACGTAGGCGTTCACGAGCCCTGGCTCTCTACTGGTATAATGTCTAGAACTGAAGTTTTTATTCTATTAAGACAAACAACCGTAGATCTAAGAACATAGAAAAACAAAGAGAACTCATCTGAGTAGAAACCCAAATAGCATATACTAGAAAATTAGCTTTTCTGCTCATAGGAAAGCTCAATTTTCTGTCCCTCACGAACACGTGACCAGTCACACTTTCTTAACATTCGCTGCCTGGGACACACCTCTGTCGTCTACTCTGCCAACAAAAGGACGTGCCTATATTTTCATGGGTAGAAGGGATGACATCTGATGTAAAAAGTGCAGAGAGAGGCAAGAACACAAGGGCACGCGAAAACAGAAAAACTCCAACGCTTGTCTGTACCAATGTTTCCATGACAAAACTTCATAAAAACTACACGAAATTTCCGTATCATTAAAAATGGTGGAAAAAAACATGACATTCAGAATAAATGATATATTCATATATTACAAAGCTGAATAAGGGCTATCTGTGATCTTTCTAACGCGAGTATGGAAACTCGAATTTTACAGTTACAGGCTCCCTGACTTACCGTTGAGCCACTGGAGTGCTCATCCAAGAAGGGAGGAGACACCATTTTCTCATATCGTCATTATAAGGACTTCTTTCTCATTTACGGGTTTTTAACATAAGCTTATTTAATAATTAAACATATATTTCACTCGAAAGAAAAAATAAATATCAAAATGTCTGCTTAAAAGTTGTAGCAAAGAATATTTTGTAAAAAAAAAGGGGGACTTCTAAAACTGTCAACGAAGCTTAAATTCTGTGTGTATATAAATATAATGTAAATTTTAGAATAATGAATACCAAAAGGTTGTGTATAAATATAATGTAAATTTTAGAATAATAAATACCAAAAGGTTGTGTATAAATATAATGTAAATTTTAGAATAATGAATACTAAAAGGTTGTGTATAAATATAATGTACATTTTAGAATAATGAATACCAAAAGGTTGTGTGTAAATATCATGTAAATTTTAGAATAATGAATACCAAAAGGTTGTGTATAAATATCATGTAAATTTTAGAATAATGAATACCAATAGGTTGTGTATAAATATATGTAAATTTTAGAATAATGAATACCAAAACGTTGTGTGTAAATATCATGTAAATTTTAGAATAATGAATACCAAAAGGTTGTACTTGCAGTTTCGTATTATTAGTTTTTACTAACTGAGATGGACGGGTATTTTGTTAATGTTTATCTCTAATATATTTATTCGTTGAGTTATCGAGAGAAATTTCTTATTGTAACATACTAGCGAAATCGTGGGCTGATGGCCCACATTTACAGGGCCACTATAACTCAGATTTAATGCTTCAACTACTATTTTGCACTTGTTCAGTTTATTGATCATTGGCGCTAATTTAATTTATTTAACCAAGTTAAGAACGGTAATAAGTAGGCCTATTATTTACGTGCTCTAATGTAAATCAATGCCAATTTTGGTGTCCGCTTTCGGGGAATCCCCGTACGGTGTTTTCACGAAATAACCGGGTTCCCTAAGGGGTTAGATGAAAAGTTTTGCCTTTGTACAAACCTCGAGGCCGAAACGATTCGTTTGGTACCATTTAGAAGTTGGTGAGTCTAGCAGTTTGGGAGGAATTTCGTGACGTGACACACAAACACTAAATCATATCGTATATTTGTTGTAATTCAGAAAATCACTATCCACCAAGTATGTATATGTATAATCGAACCCTGGATTCTGACGCTATGACAAGTTGACCTTAGCTTCATTCTGTGATCAAATATTCTAAATCATAGTGAATAACGGATAAATTCGCCTTACTTTAAGAAAAAAAGAGAAAGAATTATGAAAATTTTCTATATTAGAAATTATTTCTTTCTGCATTCTTTAGTTTGTGGAACATTGTTTTTTTTTATTTTTGTATGAAAAGTTATGTAACCATTTTCTATATTTTCTGCCACGGTAATAAAAAACATATCGTTAACTCTATTTATGAGTCTTTCAAATTATATTAATAAACAAATTTTATGGTCAAATTAGAAGTTCAATACAACTGACAGTATGTTTGAGGTAATTTCATTTATATCATGATGCTTTGTTGGATTGTCAAAAGTAAAAACTTTCCGAATTGAAGTCACGGAAGGTGATATTTTTAAGCAGCTGAAATATTCTTCATACAGTTTGTATTAAAGTATTATTAGCATACTTTTCAGAACGTTTAAGTGGCAGTTGTTACTGTTGAAGAATCGCAATTGAAACCCACTAGATGGCAGCAGCGTTGTCCTGAAACCTTCATTACTTCGTGAATTTTCTTCACAAAGTCAAAAAAGTATAACAAAAACAACAACAAAATATGTTAAAGACATGTTCTAGCACAATTTTTGCTTTCTTTATACTCGGTGGGTCAGAGTTAAGTTTGCGGACTTACGACGCTAAAACCAGAAGTTCCTTTCCCTGCGATGGAAAGCGCGTAGATAGTTCATTGGGTAGCTTTACGCTAGAAACACAAAAATGCCCCCTTCACACGCACACCAGTGGGTTAGGCGATAAGCTTGAGAACTTATAGTGCTAAAATTAGAGATTCGATCTCTGTGCTGGACTCAATACAAGCTAAACCATAAAGGCATTTTAATTCAATATTTGTGACTTTTTAGTGAAATATTAACTAATATAGTTATTAAATATCCTATCAAACAGGAAACAAATTGAATTTGAAATAACTGCTGCGCCACTATTCAATTTCACATGGAACCGTCTCTCAGGTAACGGAAACTAAGTCGCTATTAAACTAATAGTATGTTTATACAGAATAGCTACAAACCTTCTTTAAAAGGTGCTTTGTGACTAATTTAAACTGCAAGGTACTTACCTGTTGCATCCCTTCAGTAAATAGTTATTCCAAGTTTACTAAATGTTGTTTTAGTCCCTTATAGAAAGCTTATTTCGAAGAGAAATAGTTCGTTTAGATCCTCCAAGTGAAAAGGTACTTTTCTAGTATTTATCCGCAGAACTTATTCCTAATAGAATTCATATGTTTGTGCAAGCAAAGTCCATCCAACCTCCAGTTGTTTGAATATCAAATTTTCTATGCAAAGCCCTCTTTTAGAAATTTATGACTTAATTGAAATACATTATATTGTTTTTTGCTGTTGAATGCTTTTATAGTATTTTGGTAGCAAAGTAACAATTCTATACAAATATTGAAATAGGATTTGTCACAAAAATAACATCTTTTGTTTTTGCAATTAAGCCTAAAACACTATTCATTTACAGTTATTGTTATTTTTTTAAACATAATAATTTTTATTACACGGCAATAATGAAGGTAACTAAACGAATTCGTCGTTATCTACATTAACATTAAGTTATGTATATCAAAATGCATACAGTTATATAGAAAATATCGTTATCAGGCTATAGAAGATAGAAATTAATTCTATTTCTGTTTATGGTGATGCTGAATTAGCTGAAAATCAGTTTATAAACCAGTATCCTCTTGTCAGCGGTTTATATGCAAAAGTTGAGTTTAATCTGATAACACTTCTGAAACCTGGCTCAAGGGTTTGATACCAGCCGCCACGAGTACCAGCTATATGGAACGGAAACGACAACGAAAGACTAACACAGGTTTTTAGTTTACTAGCGATCAATGGCGGTTTTAGTAAGTGTTAGGCCCTACCAGCCGGGTCATCGGATCACAAAGTTAACAATAGGTTTGCATGCTAGCGTGGAGTTTAGGGGGATGTGCTCCCTGAAATTGTTTGAAACAAGAAAAAAAAGATTCAAATTAAGTGTCTAACTGTTGTTTTATGGGTTTAAACATTTTGAAAGAAATAGAACTGAGGATGAATACATTTTAATTTTCAATGTTATTTCTAACTCACCAATACGAAACCTCTGGTACAAGCGCGAGTCCCCAAATAGCTTTCTGTCTACCTTGTGCTCTAAGCGAGCGTTACCTAACGAAGTACCTTCAAACTTCAACATAAGCATAAGTTGAAAATGTTGAATGTAAGGTTACGCTTGGATAAAATATATTATTATTTCTCTTTGTTTCATTGTTATAAAACATTTTATTTTTCCGTACTTATAAAGGTTATTCAATTATCATTTCACTAATATTTCGAAATCTAATTCCGCTAAGGCCTAGTAACCTACTTATGATATACTGTGACAGGAGTTTCACTCGCCCATTGATGGAAGCCACGTAACCCCAAGTAATACGTGTAAACATACATTATAATTATATTGCAAAGAGAGAAGTAATACACGTGTATAACATAAACATACTTCAAACTTTAGAGTCAGTTTTCAGGACAGTGACCTCCGACACTGACACGAATTGTCACCACGTGCATGAAATAAGACAGCAACTTGCTGAACTACGATGGATTTTGAGTTGTGAGTTAGTGAACATGACTGTAAAGCGTATCAATTTATTTCAGTCAAAACTCGAAGAAAACAGCTGAATAACGTGTATTTCTAGTGAATGAACTTGTTATCCGGTGATACGTCATAGATAGAAATTTCTTCTTTATTTATCCGTAAATTATGGATTTTAGTTTATAAACTCCTGGTGTTGGTTTACGTTAACACAAGTATTGATGACTTTTTAATTCTTTGTTTGTTGTTAAGTACAAAGCTACAAAATGGGTTATCTGTGCTCTGTCCACCACAGGTATCGAAACCCGATTTTTAACGTTGTAAGCATTGATAACTTTAGCGTATTGCTTGTTTTAGAATTTTCTGGTAAAGCCACACCGCAAAATTCTGATCGAATAGTGAAATAGGTCCCAAAGTACGGAGCCAGTTTTTAATAGGACTCATGGTCCCAAAGTACGGAGCCAGTTTTTAATAGGACTCATGGTCCCAAAGTACGGGGCCAGTTTTTAAAGGAAGAGGAACACGAACAAGACTCTTTGGATTCACATATTGGTCACGTTAACCATTGAGCCATCCACACCTGTTACTTGTTTTTTGACGTATGTTATTCAATATTTTCAGAACACAGAAACGTAACTCTAATCGATCATGTAGAATACAAGTACGTAAATTATTTCCAGGTTGGTCGTTATTATTGTTTAGCATGTAATGTTTTTTAGCCTCATACTAAAAAAAAAGAAACAAATACTAAAACGATCGTCACTCGCAAAACACATATCAGACGACAACAGTTTTGGCAGTAGTTAGATAATACAAGAAAACTAAACAAGTCCCTCGAGTATTATCTTTTTATCAGTTAACATGATGGTATTTGTCGTAAACTGATTTATGTTTATATATAAGGCTTATCTGGTAAATTCTTATCTTCTGGTAACTATTCCTAGTAATTTGTTACAAACTAACATGGGGACATAAACGTGATTTAAACAATTTCGCGCATAAACTACTTTTTCTGCCCTGATTAATCATTTATACACTGTAAGTAACTCACGGGGACAATAATCATTCTAATTACCAACGTATCGGAGTTTTATGAAATGGCGAATAAACAATGTGTTAGGAAATGATATGGTACAACCTTTCTGGTGTAAGTAAGCAAGTATTAACGCCCTCCAGTGGCACAGCAGTATGTCTGCGGACTTACAACGCTAGAAACCGGGTTTCGATAACCATGGTGGGCAAAGGACATATATAGCCCATTGTGTAGCCTTGTGCTTAATTACAAACAAGTATTAACTCACCGATGTCCGTTCATTGATACAGAACCAATGATATAAACTTTTGGTACATAATAAGTGGTACAGCGTTGGTGAGTAATCTCACCGGTGTAAAATTATTAGTACGTAACCAGTGATACAAAGTTATCATAGGATCAAACACTCTTTGGCTCCAACTTTTGGAACTACAAGTATACTTACTAGTACAGTACTACTGGTAGAGACTTAATAGTACAGAGTGATTAGTAGAGACGTACTGGTACGGAACTATTAGTACAGAGTTAATAGTACAGGGTGATTAGTCTGGAACTACCAGTATACTTACTGGTACAGAACTATTAGCACAGAGTTAATAGTACAGGGTGATTAGTCTGGAACTACTAGTATACTTACTGGTACAGAACTATTAGTACAAAGTCAATAGTACAGAATGATTAGTAGAGACGTACTGGCAAATAATGACTGGTACGGAAGTTAATGACTGGAGTTAATAGTACAGAATGATTAGTAGCGACTTACTGATGTAGAGTGATTGGTATAGATCTGCTAATGTAGACTTACAGATGCAGAGTAACTGGTAGAGAGTCACTGGTATATTACTTCTAGTGTAGACTTATTGGTACAGAGTGGCAGGTATAGAACTATTGGTACAGAGTGGCTGGTACAGAACTATTGGTACAGAGTGACTGGTACAGAACTATTAGTATATACTTACTAGTACAAAGTGATTGGCATAGAACTGTTAATTTAGACTTATTGGTAAAAAGTATTGATATAAAACTACTAGTTTGGACATATTGGTACACACTGACTGATATTTGTGTAGATTTATTGGTACACACTGACTGATATAGAACTACTAGTGTAGATTTATTGGTACACACTGACTGATATAGAACTACTAGTGTAGATTTATTGGTACACAC